CTGCTGCATTTATTTCTTCACTGGGAGCGTTTATCCCTCTTGGGTCCCCATCATTCTTCTTAGATTTGATATGATCAAAGCCGCCACTTCAGTCTTTTACTAACCAGGCATCTTAGAACCTCATTTAGAATTCTCAGAAGCCAAAAGCCAGTGAGGTAAAGTGAAAAGGACAGATGTGTCACTTTCTGGGAAACTCCAGAGTGCCATTATCACCTTTAATGGGGTGTTTTGTAGAAAGAATGCAGCCCGTGCTTTTACTGTGTCCTCTTGTTTCTTGGTAACCTTCAGGGAAGATGATAGTTTAGGAAGCGTCCCTCTTACCTGTGCAGCTTACGGGTGGGGCGTTACTTCCTATTTACTTCTCGGGACCAGCAGGTGCCCAGGTTCTCTCACTGTCCCCCTTCCCGCACCGCACCCCTCACCTCCCTTGGGCACAGGGGACCAAAGATTTGCTTTTGACAAATAGCATTACTAGCATGACAAAATATTTAATGGATGAAATATTCATTGATTTGTTGGTTAAACCTTGAGATGAGTTTGCATCATACAGTCATGAGGTTTAACAAGACTTTTAAGGACTGAGACTGTTCTGTTCTCTATCATTACTGCCGTTGTTTGGAGCAGAGCCCCTTCATCTGAATAGTGACCAAAGGATGGGACCTCCTGTTTTTAATGGTCACGTGTTAGAAAGAAAAAGAGGCAGAGAACTCTGGACCTCAAGTTCGAAAGTCTTCTCCCAGGAAGATGTGTGTGTGGCGTGGAGCTATGGCATCTGAGCCAGACCCAGGCACTGTCAGGCCCTGGCTGTCATTTGTCATTTGTCTCAGTCAGAACATGTAACTATGAGCCTGCATATTCTCACATGTGAAGTGAGAGTTGGTGATAATTGGTGATAATGTCAATAGGATTTTGTGGGAATCAAGAATACTAAATGGTTATAGATGTATATAGATATATATGAAAAGGCAAAGTATCTGGAACATGGTATGTGTTCAATCATAAATAGCAGATCAAACTCCCTATAATTTTTACTATAACTCAGATATTCCTCGAGCAATCTTTTATGTTTTCACTTTAAAAATCATGTCTCCAGGATGATGCATGATGTCAAATATTTGCTTTAATTATAATGCAATTCAATTTTCATGCAGTGAGAGGTTTATTGTACTGTCTGTGCTTGTGAATGATGCCTTACAGGCAGTAATAATAACGGTGCTGGCATAAGCAGCGGCCCCCCGCTGTCTCACGAATGAGACAGAACCCACCGGAGCTCTGATGCCCTTCTTGACTCTCCCCAGTCAAATCCTCTCTCTCCTCTCGTTCTTTGTAGGTGTACCACACTTACTCCTAGAATATGTATATATTCTCTGGCTTTGTGTGCTTTCATGCTTCATCTGAAAGGAATCATACTGCGTGCATGCTGTCCATGCAGACGCAGGCGGTATTCCTTTCTGTCTCAATGCTGTGGGTTTGAGGTACAGCCACGGTGACGAGTGAGCCACAGTGTGCCCCTTTTCAGTGCCTTAGAGTATTCCAGCGGGTGTGCGCTGTACGTCCTGCCTTCTGCTGATGGGTGTTTGACATCTTTTCTAGGTTTCATTTATGATGTTTTAATTTATTCTGTGCCATTCTGCATGTGGTCACTATTAATATTCCTGTGGTAGATGGAGCTATATAAAAGAGGTGTGTTTACAGGTAAAAAAATAGTACAAGCTTGGACGTTTCTTAAGATTCAACGCAGTTGGTGCATCTCCGCAAGATCATATGTGGGGAATACACATAGGTGTGGCAGAAATGTTAGTTTGTAATGTACATACATGCATATTCATCTTTCAAAATGACACCTAATTTTGTTATGAAGACACTGTACCAATTTGTCCTCACTACTTACCATTGTCCCATCTCCTATCAACCCTCGATGGAGGCTTTTTATTTTGGTGGGTGTGAAGTGTGGTTTTAATTTGCATTTCTGTGACTACCAATGAAATGAAGCATCTTTTCCTATGGGCATTGGGCATTTTTGTGTCTTCTAGACAAAAATGTGAAAGTGGTTTTGGAACTGGCCAGTGGGTAGAGGTACGTGCTGGGAAGAGCCTAGGTATCCTCAGAGGACCTACGGGCAGAAATATGATCCCCCGTTAAAGGGGGTCATGCTGAGGGCTCAGGAGGAAAAGGAGAGCTGCAGAGAGATGTCTGTCACCTTGGAGGAGACACATGGGCATGCACAGAATGTTGGTAGAAGAAATACGAGTGTTGAAGGGCGGTAGGCTGAGATCTCAGATGGAAATGAGGACCATGTTACTGTCACCTGGAGGAAAGGCGTACAGTGGCAAAGAACTTGGCTGAATTGTGTTCTAGTCTTTTGTGGAGGGTAGTGCTTGTGAGAGGTGAAGTGGGATATTTAGCTGAGGGGATTTCTGAGTAAAGTATTGAAGGCATGGTCGGGTTTCTCCTTGCTGCTTACAGCAAAATGGGAAAGGAGAGAAATGCACTGAAGAAGGAATTGTTAAACAAAAGGAATCGGCACATGAAGATCTGGAACTTTCTCTTCCCATCCATATTGCAAAAATGAGAAAGCCTGTCTGGAGAGAACAGCAAGGCTGTGGCTGGACGAGGACTTGCTGAAGAGGTCACACAGGTGACTCAGGGATCCAATCGACAACTCCCACAGAAACCGGGAATAGAGGTTCCATTATCTGGGGAAGAGCCGCGGAGGACCCTCTCGTCTGGTGGCTGCCCTCCCCCACCACCCTGCACCGAATTCCACTGAAAGCCAACAAAGATTTGAGAACTCACGTGAACAGAAACACTACCAGTACAGACTAAACAGACACTGGGTGAAATGAAGGCAGGCTGTTGGACTATTGCGATTCTATGGGGTGAGCTGTTAGAGCTATCTGGGTTCCAACATGTTATTTTTTTAAGTAAAGGGAAGAAGGACCCTACAGGCAATTCAGAGGTCTGTGGGTCTGCCACTGCCACTGCCACCGTGGCCTGGTGAAGGTGGCTCTCTTCTCAGTTACAGAGAACGGGGCCACCTCCCTGATTTCAGCAGGCCAAGCCACTGTGGCTGCATCCAGGGCCAAGGGGGCAGGACAGCCACTCTCATGGGCTCGGCGGAAGGCAGGACCCCCCTGGTGGGCACAGAAGACAGAGCACGGAGCCAAAGAGGATAATTCTTCGACCTTAAAATTGAGTAGAATTTGCTCCGTTTTCAGACCTGCCCGAGACCCAGTACCCCTTCCTTCTTTCTAATTCCTCCCATCTAGACTGGGAGTGTCTGGCCAATGCTGTCCCACCTGTTGTCTTTTGGAAACGGGTAACTTCTTGTCTGGTTTCCCAGGCTCACAACTGGAAAAGAATTTTCTTGGAATGAGTCAGAGCTCCAGTCTCGCCTATGCTTAATTTAGATGATATTTAGATGAGATTTTGGACTTCGAGCTGATGCTGGAATAGGTTAAGACTTCTGTGGCTGTTGGTATGGGGCGAGTGTATTTTGCACATGAAAAGGGTGTAAATTTGGGGGGGGGTCCAAAGTGTGGAGTGCCATGGACTGAGTCGGGTCACTCCCAATGCATTTGTTGAAGTCCTAACCCCCACACTTCAGATTGCAACATTATCTGGAGATAGGGTATATAAAGAGTCATTTCCGTTAAAATGAGGTCCTGAGGGTTGACCCGAATCCAATATGACTGATACTGTTATAGGGACAGATTTAGACACAGACATGCACAGAGAGAAGATGAGGAGAAGATGGCCATCTATAAGCCAAGGACGCAGGCCTCAGAAGAAACCAGTTCTGCCAGCGTCTTCATCTCAGACTTCTGGCCTCCAGAGCTGTGAGAAAATAAATCCCCGTTGTTCGAGCCACCTCGTCTGCGGTGCTGTTATTATAACCCTGGCAAACCAGTACAGCCTCCCGCAGGCTGATAGCCCGCTGCCTAGATTAATGTAGCTTCACAGTGAAGGACTCAGTATTGAGCAGAGGTGGTGAGAGTAGCCGTTCTCTCCTTCCCTCTGATGGTGGGGTAAAACATCCAGTCTCTTATCATTAAGGACAAGGTTAACTATAGGTTTTCTTGTTTCTGTTTTCCCTGAAAATAACCTGTGCACAGTTGAGGAAGCGCCTTTCTACTGCACGTTTGCAGAGGTTTCTATCATGAGTCAGTACTGAACTCGGTCAGATGCTTTTTCTGCATCTGCTGGAATGATTATAGGATTCCCCCCTTGTATTCCTTCTATGTGCTGACTTACACTGATTGACTTTGGGATGCTGAACCAACCTTGCATCACTTGGTCATGATAGATAATAATTCTTCTGAAATCTCGCTGGATGCGTTGCACAGGTATTTTGCTGAGGATGTTCCCATTTGTGTTTATGGGGGTCTTTGTTTCCAGTTCTGGGAGATTTGCTAGAATTATTTATTGATTTCCTCCCTGGGTGCAGCCATTTATTAAAAATGATTTTTAGACCTATAGTTCCCCATAATTATGAGGTAGGCACTGCTGTGAGGTGTTTCTTTGAAATCCTTTCTTTTCTACCACTGAAAAATGACAAAATAAGACTATTTTAGTATTTTTTCCCTTTTGCAGAAAAGAACTTATTGATTTCTAGTTTCTATTTTATAGTTACATGCTGAAAAGTTCAAGGATATAAAGTGTGTATAGGATTTTTTTTGAAGTATTGTAATTTATTTTGCAATCACGTATACTACTTTGAGTTTAAAACTTCAAACCATAGAAATTGAGAACTTCTGGGTATTGTCTCTTGGTGTTTTATGGAAACCCACACTAGGCCTCACGCACTGTTCATTTTGTTGAAGATAATAACTCATTTATTTCCAATTTAAGACGTAGGGCGAATGCAACTGGCAGCCTTGCTGAAGTCGTCTGTGTTTGCTGACACTGTATTTCATTTCATCTCAGAACAAAATTGGTTGACTTTATCGTCCCTAGTTTGTGTCTTGCCCTCAATCCGTGGCCTCTCCTTGATTTCTCAGGTCTTGGTTCACCGTCCGTGTTTGGCACTAAATCATGGGGAGGAAGCTGGACCTGTCCGGGCTGTCTGGTGATGAAACCAAGCATGTTCTCCAGGTGGTTCAGCGGGACTTCAATCTTCGGAAGAAAGAGGAAGAGCGACTAAGGTGAGGTGCTTCTACAGCCTTCTGGGGCGCAGTGAGCCCTCTGTGGATAAGTGAAAATGGGTTTCCCAAGAAGGTTCCTCGCTGCTAGCTCTGAGTTCAGAAGCCTTCGTGTCCCTTTGCAGAAAGGCTTTCCAGCTTCGAGGCTGAGCATCACCAAGTCTGCTAAGAACTGTGACTGTTCGCCCTCCCAGTCAAGGCTTTGTCTGGGTGGCCCACACTGTCGAGTGTTGGCTGTAGACTGGGTGGGGTCTGTGATGGCAGGGGCTGCTTGGAGCTCTGTTCTGGCTGTAGCTTTCCTGTTGGCAGGCACTCCTGAAAAATGACTAGTGTCCCGTGAACCATTCTTGGGAGAATGACACCCATACCTAGACAGTCATCTGCCAGAATCCCCTCCCATAGCACAGGAAAGGGGCTCTGAAGGCCTGGTAGGAAAGTGACATCAGGTTGGAATAGGATCAGCTGGCCCAGCCCCGCCCTCCTCATTTTAGGGACGAAGAAACTGAGGCCCAGAGGACTGGGGTCTTCTGACTCCTCTACAGCTGGTGGGTCCTTGTGGGATGTTCTTGAAAGTCCTCTCGCTGCTCAGTGGGGCAGAGTGAAGGAGTCAGAGCGAAAGAAACAAGGCCACATGGTGGACCTCACATGCTAGAACCAGGGGGCACGTCGGTATTAGCTGCCGCCGTCCTTATATCTGTTCTCCCTCCAGATGCCATGGCTTTGTCACAGCACTGTCCCCCTTCTCAGCCACAGAGTTCCAATCCCAGTCTTTTTTTTTTTTAATTTTTCAATTATAGTCGACATGCAACATTATGTCAGTTTCAGGTGTACAACACAGTGATTAGTCATTTTTGTAACTCGTGAAGGGATCACAAACCTCAGACTTTGCCAGGCCTTTCCTGACGTGGTTCCATGCAGGGCAGGGCTGGGCCCCATGGGTTCGGCCTCCCGGCCGTCTCTCCGACCCCCGTCCCAGGCCAGCTGTCATCGCTCTTCCAAGGTCCTTGCAGGAATCTTCCCTGTGGCCCTCCAGCCTGTACTCTGGCACCGCTCCCCCAAAGAGCCTGTCCGCCCCGGGGATGTGCCACTGCTCAGCTCGAGGCCCACCTGTTCCCACTCTGTTACAATCGATACAGCGAGTTTTCCTTTTCCATTTCCTTGGGCTACCCTGGACTTCCTGTTTCTCTGAGATATTACCTCCTATACTAGATTGTAAGCCATGCTAGTGTAACCATCTTTATTCCCATCATGTTTTTTTCTTCCATATTGTAAAGACTTAACATAGGGAGGGGCAAAGTAGGTTTACACTTGTGAGTCTGCAAAACACAGACTTTATTCTTGTAGTATTATTTATTCTTGTGTTATATAGTTTTCCATACAACTGTAAAACTGCTTTTGCCCACCCCTGTATGTGCCTGTGCTTGTTAGATGGAAGACAAGAAGTCTGTTAATTAAATAATTGGTTTGAAAACCATGTGCCAGGCACTGTTCTGTCTGTTGGGTGTGTAACTGCGAGCAAAACCAGGCTTTGCCCCTGGAGTTTATATCCAGAGCCATGCTGACCACACTGCAGCCGAGAGCCAGGGGGCAGCTGCTGGGCATTTGGGCTGTGGCGCGTCTGAATTCAGATGCACTGCGGGTGTAGCAGATTTCAAAACTTGAGTACAAAAAAGGTCAAATATCTCATGAATAATGTTTCCGTTGATTGCAACACCAATATTTTAGATATAGGAGGTTAGAGAAAACCATTAATGTTATTTTTTTCTTTTTAAAATTTTTTTTTAGTATGGCTATTAGAAAATGTAAGTTGAGAATTTTTGAGCTCAAGAGTGACATGATCTGACATCAGTCTTAGGGGGTCACTCTGGCTGCTCTGTGGGGACATAATTACAGGAAGGCGGGGAGGTGGTGGAGAGGCCGGTTAGGAAGCCCGGGTGAGTGTCCTGCTGTGGGACCTCCGAGGCCTGTGTTGAGACACGGCATCATGACTAAGAGGGAGCCTGGCCCCTAAGACGTGGGTGGAGGAGAGTTGCTGATGGCCAGCAGGGGCCTCTGTGTGAGAAAGAAGCAAACCTTCATTGGGTGACGTCACTCAGACCTGGGGGGTTACGTGCTATGGCCGGAGAGCCTGGTGTTGCTTTGGCTAATGCAGTTTGTGAGGCTAAAAGGAACTCAAGTATTCGTGCCTCCCCCCTCAACTTGGCAGCTGAAGAAGCCAGCTCAGGGGGTGGCCCGGCAGTCCAGGCTGCCGATGCCAGGGTGGCCAGTCTTCTTCTGCCCTCTGGCCCCTTGGGTAGTAGAAGACACCTGTGGAAAGATCTTCAGTTTCTACTAGAATCAGAGTTTATACCCTATGATCTTGTATTTCAGACACGTTTACAAAAAGTGGTTTTTTACAGGACTGTTAATTACATGGTAGTCTGATGTTCAGAGGGAGTCTTGGTGGCATTTAATGGGATAGCCACAGACTTGAAAAGTTCTCACTTACCATATGCTTGCAAGACGCTAGTTAGCATCTGGATAACGTCCAAAGGTTTGCCGCCACTCTCGTGGCCTTGGCGAGCGGGGGCAGCAGGGATGATGTTTGAAGGACTGGTTTCCTGCAGCTGCGACTGGCCATTAATTGTCAGCGTTTGCCGAACTGACAGCGTGCTCATGCCTGCCAAGGGCTGCTGGGCCCAGGTGAGGCCAGGCCAAGGGGAAGGAAGGGAGGGCCAGGGTGGCAGAATGACAGAGAGGCGGAGAACTTCCTGCCTGGTTTTTTTCCCTGGGAGAGGCCAGGCCACCACGGTCCTCAGCCGCAGTGTGTCAACTCCTTTGCCTGGGTAAGGGGGGGAACAAGATGTACTTGGAGACCTATTTCTGCTGCTGTAGTGGCTTCAGTGACTCACTTGCTGATGTGGCCTGTGTGTGTGGGCGGGGGGGCAGTCTTCCACCATCAAGGGTTGTCTCGATGTGGTAAGGAAGTAGATAAGGCCTGCCAGGGAGTGTGGAAAGACTGCTGCAGAAATACTGTGTGTGTCTCGTCTGCAGAAAGTCCTTTGAGGATTCACCACCTTTTTTTTTTTTTTTTAAGTAGAAAGGACACATTTCCTTTTAAATGAATTAAAATTATATTACAAGAACTTCATTTTTCAAGAAGTTTCCTTTTCAGAAAACAAAATGCTTTTGTACTCAGAGTTCTTTGTTTGAACAGTTAAATTGATCTAACAAATTAACAAATATTCCTGGTTATCTTCGTCCTGGAAGCTGGAAATCACACTGCCTGGTCTTTGCTCGGTTGGAACCAATATACCCTACGGCCAGTGGAGTAGCTGAGTGTGCACAGCGCACATCTGGGCCTCGGGCCTCTTGAGATGCTGCCCAGTTAATGCACCTGCTGTCTTGGGGCGGCAATGCCTTGAGGCAGGAGCTCCTTGCTCCGCACTGGCTGAGCAGAGTCGCTGGCCAGTCCCCTGGCTGCCCTGACTTAGCAGAGCCCAGAGCAGCATTTTACGGTGAAGTGGAGGGTCTGCCACTGCTCTGTGTGACAGTCACTTTGTGATGGGAAAGGACCAGTAGGAGTCAGAATTGGGGGATGCTGGGTGAGAACCTGGACATTGTGAGGGGCTGGAGAGGGGCCCTCTGAACTGGGGAGGAGTGTAGGGTGCAGAGTATCAATCCCAAATCTACAGGGGATCTCACAAGATTTTTTAAAATCTCCTTTTTATTTATTATATTTATTAACAATGAAAAGGTTGAGTATATTAAATCTAAGCCGTTGGGTATCCATTCATTTGCTCTGGAATCGTATACTGAATGTCAGGAGCCTCCTGGGCAAATGTGAGGAGTGGGGGAGGGGGAAGGGCTCACCAGTTTAATAAGGGCCTCAATCCATGAGGAAGGGCCCAGAAGGGCAGCTAAGCCAGATACGAATGATTAGGATGCTGTAGAGAGTGAGAGATAAAAAACATTAAGGCAAACCCGTGGAAATACTTTCCTCTCAGAGGTGGGAGGCAGGAAGGAAGGCTTCCTGAAGGAGGGCACATGGGATGTGGTCCTTGAAAGACAGACAGGATGTTGTAAGTGGACTGATAGGAAGCTCTGGGCAGCAGGGAGCATCTGGACCAAGGAATAAGGGTGGAAGACCGGACGTGTTTTCTCAACCCCAGATCAGGGCCCGTGGGGGGGGGGCAGGGGAGGAAGAGACTACTTTGCCACGCTGCTGGTTGTGTTGAATAGAGTGCAGTGTTCCAGGAATATCACCTCTTTGTATTCCCAGCAGCCCTGGGGCGGGGGAGGGTATGAAAAAACTATTGTCGCCTGTGTCCAGAATGGGGATATTAATAACTTGCTCTGGCTTCATGTCGTGAGAGGTACATTCACACCCAGGCAGTGGTGCCCATAGCCGGGGCCAGTAACGGGGAGAGCGCACAATTCCTGGTGCTGAAAACTGGAGCCCCCAGGCTTCATGCGGCAGAGGGGGTAAAAGGGGGCCCTTTAGGAAATCCGGCACCTGGCCTTGCAGAAACCTGGCGTGCGTGCAGGGACGGGGAAGTAAAGTCAGGACATGGGGAGGAGGTCGTTGGGTGTTACATCAGTCATCTGCAAACGTGTCCCCGAGCACCTTAAACGTGGCCTGCCCAAACCGAGATGTAGTCTGAGAGTAAAATACACTCTGGATTTCTAAGCTCTAGAATGAAAGAAGAATGTAAAGTCTCTTAGTAATTGATTTTAATATCGAAAACACCTTGGAATGTATCTAAATAACATTTCAAATAAAATATATAATTTAAACTAATTGTACCTGCTTTAAAAAAAGTTTTGCAAATGTGACTACTAGCAAACTTTATATATATATGTATGTATATATGTGTGTATCTATCTATCTATCTATCTATCTATCTATCTATCTATATGGCTCACAGTATAATATCGCTGTCCAATATTTCTATCAGACAGCGCTGGTTTAGAATACCAGGTTAGGCAGTTTGGAATTTATAGTGGCAAAAAGTAAGATTTCT